CTGAAAGCTGTCACAGGTTTTTACAGAAGCCCTGTGAAAGCATCACAGCTTTGCCGATCTGAGAGGATTAAAAAAAAGAAATTCCTGTATCCGCATCGTGATCTGGAACTTCACCAAAATTTAAAGGTGTGTTACTTGTGCCAGTACCCACATGTGGTGTAAATGTCATGACAATCCGTCCACAAGTTTTTGAGTAATGTTGTCCACAGACAGGCCGGTCGACCGACCGACAGACAGACAGACGGACGTATGCAACCGAAAACATTGCTGTTGGCGGAGGTAATAAAAACTATTAATCAATATATTAATCTGAAATCATTGTTTTCCATAAAAGTTAGTATTATTCCTATATTTTTCCATTTTCTACCTAACCAACATCCAGAAAAATAAAGTGATTTTATCATTTTCCCTGGAAAATACAACAAAGATCTTATTAAAGTTTGCATAATACCCTTACAAACGTTGTTTGGGTTCTGCTGATGTTCTACTGGAGGAATGCATCCCAACGCCTCCCTATCTTACAAAAAATACATAGACAGGAGAATGTCAAGCCTTACAATGATGCAACTGCTTTGTGACCGATGCAGATTGTCTAGGCAAGAACTGATAACAAGCAGAGAGGTTTAAATACCTGGAAGTCTTATATTGGGGCTTTGGCTCTGCGCTACAACCTAAATCAGGTGGTCGTCTGCGACCCTCAGACCCTTGTTTTACTGGGATTAGAAAACAAAACAAAATCTCACAACTGTCCTCTCACAAGATCCAACAGCAGAAGAGATGGGAATTCTGGCTGGAAGGCAGTGGTGGACAGTAACAAAGTACTTTTACTTTATTACTGTAATTAAGTACTTTTTTTGAGTATCTMTACTTTACTTGAGTAGTTATTTATTTGGGAACTTTTTACTTTTACTCCACTACATTTCAAAGACAAATATTGTACTTTTTACTCCACTACATTTCAAAGACAAATATTGTACTTTTTACTCCACTACATTTCTAGGAAGCTTGTCGTTACTCGTTACTTTTAGATCAGCATATTATAATCCGCTGAAAAAAAAAGAAAGAAAAAAATCCGTTGTTCCAGTTTTTCTTTTCATGAAATGCAATTGGCCACAAGCTATGTTCGTCACAAAGGTAACCAATCACATGTGTAGCTTATAGTTCTGACTGTCACTGAGTGTGTATATATGTCTGTGTGTATATACTGACAATATTTATGAATGTAGGCATGTATGTATGTATATCTTTATATATGTATGGGTATGTGTATATTTTTATATATGCCCTCCATGTATTTATCCATTTATTTTTCAGGTGAGCGGACAGATGTTGGGTGTGTGGTCCTGTGTTTTGTTGGTGTATATTTAATATTCTTCTAATCGCTATTTCAGTCTTTCTATCTTTCTAATCACTTCTCTCTCTGTTTTTCTCTCTGTCTCTATTTTCTCTTCACTTAAAAAAAGTCACTGATGATGAAGAAATAAATAAACTAATATTTAGTTTAGTTTTCTACTGAAGTGACAAGAAAAAGAAAATAAAAAAATGTAATTTGTACTTTTACTTTGTACTTAAGTACTTTAAAATGCATGTACTTCTGAATACTTAAGTATTTTCAAAAGTAAGTACTTCAGTACTTTTACTTGAGTAGATTTTTGACTGAGTAACTTTTACTTGTAGTGGAGTAGATTTGACCATGAGTATCATTACTTTTACTCAAGTACTAGAGTTGAGTACTTTGTCCACCACTGCTGGAAGGCGAAGTCAGCCAGGATGCATTTTAAGCGCCCGGGAAAAGCTCAACACAGACAAGTTGTCATTCAACTTGATATCTGCCTCAATTTTGACAAGGAAAAACTTGCAATATATCAGATATATTCAAAGTCCACTGAGGTTGTCTAAAACATGGTGTGAGAGTAAGCGGCTAAAAAAATCACATTGGTATAAGAATAAACTGCTTGAACGGTCTTGAACAGTTGTATTCTTTAAAGCTGAACGAACTGCAGGCCAGAGACAAGTAAGAGCAACATCTCAGAAGCTTTCTGACCCAGATCCAAATAAATGTGCTACTTCGAACTCAGAGATGATTAAAGTGACCTCTCCCTGCAGGGTGGCACCTTACAACAAGATAATTATCCTGTCTGGAGATGATCAGACGGAGGATGCCGAAGCTTGATGATTTCATTAAAGCTTTGCCTTCACTGACCCAGATTTTTTTTTGTAATGTAACTGGTCATTTTAATATTTTATTTAAAGGTCTGGATGTAATCATTTGTGTACAAAGCACTAAACAACCAAGCTCAACATGTTTTTTGTAATTATTTAAATCAATAACGTGTTTTCTTTGTCTCCCTTCCAGAGGAAAATATGTGTGGACCAGTCCTGTGTTTCTTTGGGTGTCTTTGCATTTTAAAGCCCACTTCGGCACACCCCAGCTCATGACGATCCAGCCTTACTCTACTCCAGCGCAAGTCTGAATGGGGGCGAGATCATAATACTAAACACACACAAATCATCTTCAGTTTTATTTGTGACTGTGGTGGCACAATTGACCAAGAATGCAGAAACACGTTGGAATAAATGCACAGAAAGTCTGCYTGTATGGTCGTCAAATGATTTAATTTTTAGCAACAACAGAGCAGAAGTTAATCAGAGAAGAATGTCAAGTTGTGGCTGGCTCATCAAAGCAGAGCAACCGATAATGTAACATTCTGTAACATGCTTACAACCAATCACAGTTCACCAACTGTGAACCATCTAACCAATGACAGGGCTGTCAGCCCGGAAACACCTTATCAAAATAAAAGAGGTCATGCATTG